TTTAGAGTCAAAAGACTTGTGTGTGAGTCATTCCCCAATTGATAAATGGTCAAAGGATATAAACAGGCAGTTTTCAGATAAAGAAATTAAAGCTATCTATAGTCATATAAAAAATACTCTAAATCACTATGGATTAAAGAAATGCAAATTAAAACAATGGGGTACCACCTCATCTATCAGACTGGCCAATATGACAAAAAAGGAAAATGATGTTAGAGAAGGTGTGGGAAAACTGGAACACTAATGCATTGTTGGTGGAGTTGTGAACTAATCCAATCATCTGGAAAGCAATTTGGAACTATGCCCAAAGAGCTATAAAACTGTGCATACCCTTTGATCCAGCAATATCACCACTAGATCTGTATTTCAAAGAGATCATAGAAAAGGGAAAAGGACCTACATGTACAAAATATTTATAGGAGCTCTTTTTGTGGTGGCAAAGAACTGGAAATTGAGAGGATGCCCATCAACTGGGGAACAGTTGAACAAGTTGTGGTATATGAATGTAATGGAATACTGTTGTTCTATAAGAAATGATGAGCAGGCAGATTTCAGAAAAACCTGGAAAGGCTTAAATGAACTGATGTTGAGTGAAGCAAGAACCAAGATAACACTGTACAGTAATAGCAACATTGTGCGATGACCAACTTTGTTTGACTTAGGTCTTCTCAGCAATAAAATGATCTAAAACAATTCCAAAAGACTCATGACTAATGTGGAAATACATCTAATAGGTCTGTACCTGTATAACCTATATCAGATTGCATGACGTCTGGGGAGGGGGGAGGGAAGAAGAAAAAAATTTGGAACTCAAAATCTTATAAAAGTGAATGTTGAAAACTATCTGTACATGTAATTGGAAAAAAATAAAATACTATTAAGTGGGGAAATTTTTTTTTTAAATTTAAGGAAAAAAAAGACTTGTGTTTGAAACCTAGCTTTGCAACTCACTACCTATGTGACCATGGGCAAATCACTTAATTTCTCTGAGTCTCAGTTTCCTCATCTGCAAAACGAGAAGATTGGATTAAATGTCCTCTAAGGTCCCTTTCTAGCTCTACATCTATGATCCTATGAATACTATAAAATTATAACGACCAAGCTCAGCCCCAAAGAAGAGACATGAAGTGACATCTTCCCCCTTACTTTGCAGAGGAGGAGGAGTATAGATATGGAACACTTCTACATAATGTCAGACTTTTGGTTGGATTGCTGAAATGCTTTCCCCTTCTTATCCTTTGTAATAAGGATGACTATTTGGAAGGAAGAATGTTTAGGGACATATTGAAAAATGTAGTGACATAAAAAAAAATCAATAAAAATATCTATCAAAAAAAAATAATCCCAGGGCAGCTAGATGGAACACTCACTAGCTATAAGACTCTGAGCAAGTCACTTAACCCCAATCACCCCACCAAAAAAGAATAAAATAAAACAAAATAATCCCCTCTACAACAAATCCAATAAGTGTTCATCTAGTATTTGCTTTTAAGACCTCTAGTGAAGGGAACACAGTATCATACCCCCTGAGTCAACCCATTCCACTTTTATAATTCTAATGGGAAAATTTTCTATCATAACCAGCAGAAATCTACATCTGTGCAACCCTTGCCCCCCCCATCACTCCTGCATTTGTCCAACACTGGACAAGCAAAACAAGCCAAATTCCTCTTCTATACAATAGTCTTTATACAGGCTAAACACATCTAGTTCCTTCAAATTATTCTTTCATTGACACTACATTAGTTGCCGTATTCTCAATATTGTTTACTTTATTAATATTCTTCCTAAAATGTGAAGGCCAAAACTGAACATAATAATACAGCTGTGGTCTGACCAGGGCAAAATACATAGAGACTATAATTTCCTTTATAAATATTATGCTTCTCAATGCAATCTAAGACTGAATTACATTTTTTTGGCAGCTGGAACATACTTGAGCTATACTGGTTTTTCAGTACTCTAAAATCTCCAAATCTTTTATAGATGATCTCTTCCCTAGAGGTGGGAACTCTTCAGCTAGAAAGTAATCTAGTGTGCAAGGACCATCTCACTTTCGTATTTGCATTCCCTGGGGCTACCCCAGTTCTGGCAAGTGGTAGACATTTAGTAAATGCTTATTGGCTTTTTTCCTTCAAAAATAGCCAATTCATTCACAATACCTCGGCCTTAGTTCAGGGTTTTGAACACAGCAGATGCTTAACAAACAACGGTTGAATTACCAAATCCTCGTATGGGATTGTGGAAAGAATGGCACACTGTGCTGTTGACAGAGCTGTGAACTGGTCCAGCAGTTCTGAAAAGCAACTTGGAATAAATTATCCTTATCTTTTGAGCAAGATATCCCACTATATCTCTAACACATCAAAGTATTTACAGCAGTACTTTTTTTTTGTAGTATCAAAGAATTGAAAACAAAGTAGATGTTCACCAGTGGGAGAATTACTAAACAAACAGTATATAAATATATGGAATATTACTGCACTGCAAGAGAAGATACACATAAGGAATACAGGAAAACATAGGAAGAAATTTACAAACTGATGCAAAATGAAGAGAACCAGGAAAACAATGCACATAATAACTACAACAGCATTCAACAACTATAACAGTCTAAATGAAAGAACAACAAAAAATTGAAACAGAATGCCTGTAATTGTAATGAAGAAGTCTGACCTCAGGAAAGAGATATGAGAACCTATCTCTTTTCTTTGAAGACTAGGGGTTTACGGGGTGTGGACAGCTATATATAATGTCAAGTTGAATGATATATTTATTAATAAATTTTAACCTTTTTTCCTTTCTTTTTACTCTGTTATAAGAAATGGTTTTCTGGAAGAAGGCAGGGAAATAAAGTGATGTAAAAATAAGGTATCCAATAATTTTTTTTTTCAAGAAAAATTCCCCTGTTCCAAACACAGGTTGGTCCAGATGAGATATTATTTATAAAGTTATTAGCATGGTGCCGGACACATAGTAGGTGCTATATAAATGCTAATTTCCTTCTTTTCTTCCCCTTTCCCACCAAGATCTCCATCTCCCTCTGGGGTGAAAAAAAGTAGGCCAAAATAGAAACAGGATAAATTTAACCTAGAACAAAAGAAAACTATTCCAGACTTGGAAGACCTAAATAGCATTACAAAGAAACCAGAGGCAAGTTGTTAACTTTCACAAATTAGAGCAAATTACCTTCCTTCAGAGGAGATTTCTTTTTAATCCAGACTAGGAGGCAGACAGAGGAAACAGATAACCCCCCCAGACCTTTTCTAAGACCCACAGATCTAAGAAAGTGTGCTTTAACAGGTATAAGTCATCTATACAGAGCTACTAGACTTACAAAGATTGGTCATGAATCAACTCTGGAAAAACCTTGTTGCCAAGATGAACCAGGGGCCACTAGCTGGCACAGTGGATAAAGCACTAGGCTTGGAGTCAGGAAGACCTGAGTTCAAAAGGTAGTCACACACTTACTAGCTGCGTGATCCTGGGCAAGTCAATTAACCCTGTTTGCCTCAATTTTCTCATCTGTAAAATGAACTAGAGAAGGAAATGGTAAACCACTTCAGTATCTTAGTCAAGAAAACTCCAAATGGGGTCACAAAGAATTGGATTTGACTGAAACAACTGAACACAGAACAAGATGAATTGCAACAGCTTCCTATCAGTAAACTAATCTCATATTGAGTACCTACTATACAGTAGGAGTTACTGAGATATTTAGTAGTGCTTATATATAAATATGTAAACTGTACACATACAAAAATATTCTTTGTGGATTGCCATCCCTTTGGCCTACAGTCTTGTTAAAAGCAGACATTTTGGAAAATTACATAAAATACTGTAGTAGTAGTAGTAGGTCACCACTGTTACATAATGTACTCTTTAGAAGTAATAATAAACAGTGAGATTTATAAAGGGCTTAAAAATGATACAGAAATAAACTATTAATTAATAGGTATTTAACACAGTGCCTGGCACAATGTAGGTACTTCATAAATGTTTGTTGTTTGATACTAAATCTATCAGAAAATTAATAAATTACATAGGGTAAAACCACTTGAGATTTCTTTCACGTATGATTCTATTCCTATCTTCTCCAAGGCCTTCCAGTCTTAGGATCATAAATCGTAAAAAGAGAGCTGAAAAGGACCTTAGTTTTTCTAGTCTAATGCCCTCATTTTATGGATGAGACCACTGAGGTCTAAAAAGTCAAAATAAATTCCTAGAAGATAAGTAGATAGTAAGTGGCAGAGTCTGAGTATGAATTCAGTTCCTCTGGTTTTATATCCAATGCACTCTTTCCACTGCAACATGTTGTTTTCGACTTTAGGTGACCTATCATCTAGAGTTACCTAATGTCTAGGTAGGGCTAAAAGTGAAAAAAAACACATCACTTCTAAATTATTCTTTTGCAAATCCCACTGTTTGTTTCAGGACTCCTTTGGCAGAGTTATTAGCCCTAAATCAGTCTTCCCAATTCCTCTGAACTACAACCAAGTTTCTGTTACCAAGCTTCACTTTTATGCAAAGACACACAAAAATCACAATAAGTGCATCAAGAGCATCTATCAAATGACATATTCCCAATCTACACTACCAAATAAAAAGCACACACCTTAAACAATATACACCAATGAAGTTTTGTGGTACCATTTCAATGAAACATGTCCTCCACTAGTGATAAAATTTATTGGGGGCTCAGGATCCACCAAAATAAACAAGTAACAAAAAAAGACTTGGGGGAGGGGGGGAGTAAAAACCAGTTCTGAAAGTTTACATTTCCCAAAGGGGATCAAGTCTCCATTAGGTGCCTAACTCCCTTCTACCACAATAAACCTATGGGAGTTCCCCTATCATATCCATCCTCACCTTCCCCTTCTTTCCCAGGATAGTATACTATATTTCTGATTTCAAAATAGATATACAACAGAACTTTTAAAAAGAAAGAAAAACTGGCACACAATCTTTCCCCCATCCAAACTCTTTTCTTAACCCTCTACCTGCTAATGCCTTCCCCTTCCCGTCTGACTTCGTAGACACACGTCTTTCGCAGGGATGTACCTAGAGGAAAAGGGTTGTTCTTAATCTGGGGTCCGTGAATTTAGCTGTTTCAAAAATATGTTTATAACTTTATTTAAATATAATTGGTCTCCTCTGCAAATCCTTGTTTTTTTATGCATTTAAAAGTATTGTTCCGACAAGGGGTCCTAAGACCCAGACCACAAAGGGGCTTAAAAAAGGGTTAAAGACCCCTAACCTAGATCCTGCCTTCCCCGTAGGAAAAGAAGCTCCTGGAGATCGGGGGGCTGTGCGTACGTTTGGGGGATTGGGGGTTTTTTGTTTTGGTTTGGTTTTTGACTCTTTGAATCCCAGCCCTCAGTAAATGCTTGTTGACTGACTGACTGACTGACTCGTCTCCAGCCCCGGATGGTCCCAGACGGGCGGCGGCTTGGAACCTCTGGCTGCCTGGACTACGAGTGACCGATACCGACACGGAGGGAGGGACAGACGAATGGATGAACGGTCGGACAGGGAGGGGAGGAGGCCCGCGAGAAGCCCAGGAAGGGCAGGGGGAGGGGAGGGAAGGCGAGACAGAGAGCGGGAGGGGGCGGGGAGCGGCACGTCTGCAGTCTGGTCGGGAGCCGGGACGGGCCCCCAGCCCTGCCCTCCCCCCACCCGGGGCCAACTTCAGGGCAGCCGGGCTACGTGCCCGCGAGCCGACGCCGCACTTACCCCCTTGAGGGTCGCCGCTCAACCGAGGAGCCAGAGGGGACGAGGAAGCCGCTACCGCTGCCACCGCCGCGGCGGGGATGGGGGTTGGGGGAGCGGCCGTTACCGGGCAGGAGGCCTCGGCGCCGCCGCGTAGCTCTGGCCCGACAGGGAGGGGGAGGGGCACCTCGGAGGGAGGGAGGGAAGGAGGGAGGGGAGAAGAGCGCGCACGGGCGCGCACACGGTGCTCACCGGCCCCCGCCCGCGGCAGTCTCGCTCCGATCCGTTTGGTCGGCTCCTCCTACCCCGCCCCAGCTCGGCACCCCGCCCCCAGGAAACTCCCGCCTGGCCGTAGAAGATTGGCTCAAAAGCGCTGACTCGAGGAGTGCTCAGACAGCGGGAGGGGATTGGGCTGAGCTGTCTGCCAATCAAAGTCGCCGGGAACGCGCGCGCGTTGGGAGGGAGCCCAAGGGATGCCTGGTGGCTGGGGCTTGGAGGGGCCAAATGTCATTGGCTTGCTTTGTACTTTACCTTGCGGTTGTCGGTGTGGCTGTAGGAGCGAAAACCGAGACAGGGCAGCGAGCCGCTTCTTCATCGTTCCCTAGCTGGGTCTGATAGTTCCTTTGGGCTCTCATCCCCCTCCTCCCCAATAGTTGCAACTGACCTTGGCGATTTAAATTGCAACCTCCCTTCCGGCTTGTGTCTGGGCTGGGTGGCCGCTGCAGCCCCGGGACAGAAAGCCTGCGGCATCCTCGTTCTAGGCCACCTGGGGAGGGTCCGGACGGCCGGGCTTTTTGGTAGGAGTAGGTCGCGAAGATGGAAATGTGATCACATCTTCAACTGAGGCCAGGCAGGCGAGCACCCTTATTCTCACCCCCATCTCGTCGACCAGTACAACAAAGACATATGAACTAAAACAATAAGGCCTGTGGTCCAGGGAGATTTACTTCTTACTACCTCCAACATAACAACTTCCTTTTTTGCTTAAAAAAGAAAACAAAAAAAGCAGGGGTTGGGGGAGAATAAAGCCAAGACATTTACCTGACAAGTTAAAAAGCTATCAGTGACTTGGTCATTGTATTCTTTCGGTATTTCACCTCCTGGCACCTGCTGGGTCCAGGGTTTTTTTCCACATCGGCGCCTGCTGTTTTCTCTTCTCCCACAATCCTGGCCCGGATCCAGGTCTGCAAATTTAATGGGTATCACCGCCTGGGAGACTGCACAGCACTAAAGGGGACGTGTTCAAGGGATTTAGAGCCAGAAGGGCCTTAGAAATCAACTTGTCCAGTCCTTTTACTTTTGAGAGTGAAGAAAGTAAGACCTGGGGAGATTAAATAACTTACCCAGGTATTTGAACGTAAGTCAAGGTGACAAGCATTTACTAGATGTCTACTGTGTGTGAATCACTGTGCTAAGGCCTGGAAGTCATCTGACTTCGTCTCCGTCTGATAATTGCCAAGATTTAAACCTACATCTCTTGAAATCCTGTAGTTCCTCCACCCAACATTAGCCCTCCTAGAAGCAACTGTATGAAAGATTAATCCTGCTAAAGCCTGGTCTCAATTACCTATACATTTGTTATTTCTTGTTTTATTTTTCCCCCATCTCTTCTTCGGGACCCTCACTGGAAAGAGACAAAAAAGGAAAAAAAAAGGGGAGGGTTCGAAGATGGCAAAGCATGGGGGAAAGGGAATAAAAAAAGGAGATAAGGAGTTACGCATTGAATACCTTCACTGGAAATGTGTATTACTTGAAAGTAATAGAACTATTCTAGGGTAGAGACCTATCCAGAGTATTCTCTTCCTCACTCTTGAAGCTTAATCATCTTTTGTTGGTTCTTTTCCCTTCTCATATTCTTCCTAAGCCTGTTCTGTATTCATACCACATCAGAATCCTCTTCCCCAGTCAGGAATAGTGCTGTTTGGGCTTGGCGGTAAGAACTGTCTAGAGAGGCAGAATGGTTGGAATCAGAGCTAAAGAGAAGCTTCGGAGCTAGGCAATTCACCCCTGCAGAGTTGTAAGCAATGGAGCATAAATTTAAACCTCAGAAGGGGCCTCAGAGGTCAGCTAGTCTAACATCCCTATTTTACAGATCAGAAAACTGAGGACCAGGGAGGTTAAGTTATTTGACCAAAGTCACATAGACAGTCAAAAAACATTTATTAAGCTTTAATTATGTGCCAGGTACTATGCTAAGTCCTGGCGACGTAAAGAAAGAAAAAAATACCCTCAAGAGTATACATTCTAATGGGAGGGACAACATGTAAATAACTAGGTGCATGAAAGATATATACAGAGATGAAGATGACCTAAAAAGGGAAAGCATCAGCTGCTGGAAGTTTGCAGGGGAGGTCAGGAAAGTCCCTCAGATGGTAAAATTTGAGCTCAGTTTTGAAGGAAGCCAGAACTATACTTTAGAAAAATTAACCTAGCAGATGAGTGGGACGCTAGTGGGGAGATACTTGAGACAAGGAGACCAATCAGAAAATTATTAATATAGTCCAGGTATAAAGTGATATGGTCCTACACCAAAATGAAAGATCTGTGAGTAGAAAGAAGGGAACCTGAATTGTAAATATAGAAGCAACAAGATTGGCAATGTGTTTGGATTTGAGGAGTGAATGAGATCAAGGGGTTGAGAATGGCAAAGAGGTTATAGGTTAACTGGGATGATGTTCATTGCTATCCATAAGTGACAGGAGCTAGGAGTTAGGAAGGTGGAAAAGGAATCTTTCTGATTTCTCCCTGCCTTGAATTACACAGTATATTTCATCTTTTCATTCAGAGGTGGGACCACTGGTGACAAATGCTAGTAGCCAATTAGAAGTAACTGGAGGAGCCTCAATATACGCCAAAATATTTACTGCATCACAATCTGTGGTAGCAAAGATCTGGAAGCAAAGTCATCAATTAGGAAATGGCTAAACAAATTGTAGAAGATAAATGTAATGGAATATTACTATCCCATAAGAAACAGGAATATGATGACTTCAAAGAAGCAAGGAAAGACATGATCTATGCAAAGTGAAGTATGCATAACCAAGAAAACAATATACACAGTAACTACAACAATGTAAATGAAAAGAAAAACCACCACGAAATAATCAAAAATGAATGTTGTAGAATTAACAAACAACAAGCATGGTCCCAAAGAAGAGACATATGATATTTCCTCCAATTCCTTTGAAGAAATAGGAAGTCCACAGGTATAGAACCTAGTATATATTTTCAGACTTTTTCAATGTATCGTTCAGTTTTGTTGATTGTTTCTTTCTTTTAAAAAAAAATCCTTTGTTATATAGGATGGTTCTCTAGGATGGCTAGGGAGGGATACTAGAAGAAAGATAGAAGATGTAAAAACAAAAGATATATTAAAAAGAGAGATGTGGGAATGAGGGGAAGTAACTGAAGGAACCAAGTGGTCTAGGAAAACAATGAGACTGGGTGGACTTTATGGAACTAAGGCCCTCCCTCCCCTGAGGTTCTTAAAACCCTAGGATGAAATAGAAAGTAGCCTAGCAATGATAAATTCAAATCCCATGTTTTGTAATATTACATTTTAATGGGTTTTGTAATGATTAATTTCAGTTGTAAATTTATTAAGTTTGAAAACACTATAATGTTTATTTTATATGGTGTAATACAACAGATCTATATGGCCATTTATAAAACAAATGCCCTCCTCTTCCTAGTGTCCTTTTCCTCCTCTTCCTTTTACTGTCATACTTCTCCAAAGGCTGTCTACTGTTTCTGTTTCTTCATCATCTATTCATTCCAAAACCCGCCAATGTAATGGAAAGAATACTGAACTTATGTTACCTCCATGATTATGGGTTTAACTTCTCAAGGCCTCAGTTTCCCCATCCATATAGTAGGGATAATAATATTTCAACTATTAACCCTCACAGAATTGTCACAAAGAAAGCTCTATCCAGGTGTAATTATTACCTTCTGCCCTCAGCATTCTGCTCTAGCTAATCTCTCAAAGGTCATCAATGATCTCCTAAATGTTACATCTAATGACCTTTGATCAGTCCTCATGCCCAGTTTACCCTTCAACAGTTAACTACCCCCTCTTTGACACTCTCCTCCTGCTATCTTGTTTTTCTTCTTTCTGCGAGGTTCAAGAATAGGCCCACTTCTTTCCTCTACATACACTGTATCTCATAGAACTTAACCATGCTCGTTGTTTCAATTATAACTTCTATGTAAATGACTTCCAAAAAGAGGTTTCCAGGACTGACCTCGCCTCTAAACTACGTGGCTATCTTGCTATCACCTCAAGCTCAAGATTATTTTGCACATGGTAGGCATATGCTCAGTAAGTGTTTGTTGAATTGAATTGAAAATGAATTTATCATTTTTTTCCAAAAAATGCCACCCCAAGTCTTCCCTACTCTTATCAATAGCACCATCATTTTTTCTCTCATAAAGACTTGCAACCTCTCCCTTGTCATATATATCCAACTAAGCACTTAACCTGTGCTTAACCTGAACCTGTGATTCTTCCCTCATTCATGTAAGTTTATATAAGATTTACAAAGAGCTTTCCCTACAATAATCCTATGAGGTAGGTAGTATGCTTAATATTATCCCTGTTCTACAGATCAGGCTGTGACACAGAAAAGTTAAGTGACTTGTCTAAAGGTACATAGCTAATGGTAAGTGAGAGGGAAGTAGACCCAGTCTCTTGGCCTTAAGTTCAGTTCTTTTCCCTTGAAACTTTCCTTCCCTTTTCATACTTTATCATAGGAGCATGAGGTCATAGATTTAGAGATGGTAGAGACTTTAGAGGTCATCTAGTCCAACCCTCTCATTTTTACAGTTGAGGATACTGAGGCCTAGAGGAGTCAAACGACTTTCTTGAGATCACACAAGCGCAAAGCTACAATTTGAACCCAGATCTTCTGACTCTAAATTCATTATTCTTTATATTGTCCCGCATCTGAATTATTTTAATAGTCAGCCTAGCTCGTTTACAATCACAGAATTATAGAACTGGAAGTAACATGAAATAATGTGCTCTGACCTCTTCATTTCACAAATGAAGAAGCTAAAGCCCAGAGAGGCTGTGAATGGCCAAATGTCACAGGTAGTTTATGTCAAATCAAGGACCAGAGCTCAGGTCTTCTGACTCTGTCCTATGTTTTTTCCATTATATGAAGCTATCACTAGTTTCACTAGTTCACTATCTAGTATCGCTCTGTTCCATCCTCCATATCAATGCTACATTAATCTTACTAAATATGGCTTTCATTGTGTTACAATAATAATGCTAAAAAAAATACTTAATGCCTCTCCATTGTTTAAAGCAGTGGTCTGAAATCCAAATTTTCTGCTTTTTTAAAATCAATTTAAACCCAAGAAGACCTGGATTTAAGTCTCACTTCTTACACAGACTGACTTTATGACCCTGGGTAAATCATTTAACCTCTCAGTGCTTCTGGACCACTCTAAGACCATAAATTTTAGATGAATATGTTTTGTTTCCCAAATAAGACTATTCACACCTCAAGCACAGGACCACTTCTCTTAACCTTCATAATACCTAGCACAGTGTCCTTGCTCAATAAATAAATAACTAGATAAATATTAATGTCAAATTGATATCTATTTGATAAACATTTGTTGAATGATTAAATAAAAGTACCCTTTAAAAGTTCATAAATTAAATTTTTGAATATATGTTATAATTTAAGTTCAGTAGTAAAGAGGTCTATTCAGAAGAAATCTGTGGTGGATCCCTTTGTTGTTGTTGTTGTTCAGTCATTTCAGTTGAGTCTGACTCTTTGTGACCCCATTTGGAATTTTCTTAGCAAAGATATTAGAGCGGTTTGCCATTTCTTTTTCCAGCTTATTTTATAGACGAGAAACTGAGGCAAACAGGGTTAAGTGACTTACCCAAAGTCACCCAGCTAGTAAGTGTCTGAGGCTGGATTTGAACTCAGAAAACTGAATCTTCCTGACTCTGCACTCTACCCACTGTACCACCTCACTGCCTGGTGATTCTCTTTATAGAGTGAACAATCTTTTTGTAACCTTCAGACATTTTACAAGTTCAGATTTTAGTATTAGAAGAATAGTACTTAAAGCAAGATACCTTTGCATTCCCTTCCTTATTGGCTCAGACTCAAAAGGGTGAGAAAATCAACCAAGCATTTATTAGTTAAAAGTATCTTAAATGTACCTCACTCAGAAAAATGCTGTTTGGTTTTTTTTATATTTTTATTTATTTAAAGTTCCAAGAAAGGAATCAAAGAGTTTTAAAACTGGGGGTGGGGTGGAGATGTCATCTACCTCAGCCCCTTCATTTACAGATACAGAAACTGAGTCTCAGAGAGGTTGTGACATATCAAAAAAGTAACCAGCTGGCATAAGTACCCAACTCTCTTGACTCTCAGTTCAATGAGTTTTCTGTGACCTCATTCTGTTTCTGGGAACTCAGCTCTCAACGGAAAGTTGAAATGAGCAGGATTAAATATCTGAAATAAAGCATTATTATGGCAAGTCAGACAACCCATTAATTATTGTAGAATAAAGAACACCTCTGCATTCTCATTTCATTTTCAAAAAGTGAACTATGGGTGAAATTTAGTTGTAAGGTTTTTACTATTATTTATATATCCTATCCATGCAAATCCAATAGACAGAACAGTGTTTTAACTGAATGAATAAGAGTAGAGAGCAAATATATTATGACACATTAAAATATGCCTTTGAGACTTTTTTGGTTCCCCTGAGGAAAATCTTTAAATAACATGCCACATTAATTTACTCCTTTGCTATTTCCACTGCTGGCAACTCTGCCAGTTGCTTGGAGCACTCCTTCTGTTGCAAGGTAAGAGGGCAGTAACCAGGAGAGATTTGTAAACTGTGAAGTTAAATGGAGAAGAACACTGCCTCAGCAATGGAATAGTGCATTGGATCCACAACGTCTGTGCAAAAACTAATGCATGCCCCTCCTCCACTGCTCATGGCAACCATGACAGGTTTTTACTGTGTCTTTTACTTACTGTAGCCTAAGTTAAATCAGTGAAAAGCCTTCCTTCTCCACTACCTTCTGACCCCAACCACACTGCCTCAATTCCATACTCTGCTACTGCCAACTTCCAATTTAATAATGCAAATCAGTGGGAAAAATCAGGTTTTATAATTAGAATCTCTTTTTACAGCCAGCTTTTCAGGAACGTACACTGCGTATATGAAGAGATGCAGGTATAATGTTGAAACGACTATGGCTATGAAAGGTGCCATGATACCATTTAACTTTTCTAATTTGTAAATTTCAATAAGCTTATATTTTCTTATAAGGAGAAATTTCTATTAGTGCAGAAATTGATGATAACTAAGGCTAGCATATTTTTCTGTCACTTACCCCTTAACTAATAGCTGTTTTTTAAAAGACCGAAGTCCACAATATTTCATATATTTAATATTTGCATTTATAATATTTTAGACTAATAGAAATCTTTCTACATTTGCATATTTTTCATCTTTTTACAACTATATGTTACATAGAACTCTGTCCATTATACAACACAAAAAACATTGATACATGAATACAACATGGCAGTGCACATAATTGAACATGATTCAGAACATGAAAATCAAGTCTCATTTAATGGGAGAATCAAGTATCTCTTGATAGTCCTCCCTTTTTAACTTTCTCCAATAAAGTTTATAACCAGCAAGGACAAAAACACTAATCATGATGATTGCCCCTCCAAAGACATCATAGACACTGGGGAAAATGTGTAGCACTAGAAGCTGTAAGATCATAGCCACCACAATCTCAAGGTGTTGCACTGTGCTAACCAGAGCTGGATGAAATTTATCTAATGCATAATAAACTCCCAGGAAAGCTGCAGTAGAACAGATGCATATGGCAATGAGATATCCCCAGGTTTCTCCATCTAATGGGATGATGGGTTCTTGAAGAATGAACATAGTGGATACTCCCCAGACTGTCCCAGTCCAACCAAAGGTAAATAAGGCAGTCCACATACTGATCTTCTCCCTGATGGACCTGTATACTATCATGGAAAGAGCAGTGGTCAGTCCTGCCATTACTGTCATGGTGTACCCAAATGCTTCTTTCCAGGCATTCAGCAAAGAGTTCTCTTCATCAACAATGTTGGGGATCATGACAAGGCAAACACCCAAGATACTGCTGATAACTGTAGCCATATCAATGTAAGCCATTCGTTCATCTACCAGCAAAAAAGCTAAAATAGCACTAAATACAGTGGTTGTTGCTCTCCACATAGTGGTTCCATTGCTAGGAGGAACTATTGAGAAAGATGTATAAGCACAGGTGATAGAGATGACATTGCATACACCATAGAAAAAGAGCCGCAGTCTATATCCTCTGGGTCCAAAAGGGGGTTCTTGGTAGTAACACACAACCAACACAGAAAATACCTGTAAGACAGATCGAATGAAAATCAGTTCTAGAGATGGCACTTTGGAACGATCAGAAACAAGTCTAGTGATAAGGGCCACACATCCATGAGCCAAAGCAGATCCAAACAACACTATCCAAGTCTTTCTAGACTGAAAAATGTTTCTTTCTGCAAAGCTGTGGAATTGTTCGATCTCGTTCACTTTTGGGTCTTCAGTTGGTGGGGTTCGACTATCCATGGTCCCAAAGAAAGTTCTTCCTTTTCTTTTCACTTCACTCAGAAGTCCTTTCTTGGGATTTTCCTCCATAAAGCTTCCATAATCTTCATTTATTTCTTCATATCCACTATCTCCTGGTTGGGGGTAATGAGAAGTATATTGTACCATCACTGTGTTGGGGTGTATTTTCACACGTTTTTTAACAGGATATTTTTTGGAGGGAGAAGTATCCATTTCTTCAGATAAACGGATCTGCACTTGAATAAAAAAAGGAAGAAATAGATTTACACTTTTGCTCAGTTGAAAATTTAATCAATATGATATCTATATATCAATTCATTGATAGAGAAATAGCTGTTATAGCATAAGTGAACTGGCAGCAGTAGGTATTACAGAGAAGTCTCTACCTAAATTTGCCTTTAAGAACCATGAACTCTATGGAATGAGCCACCCATTTTTCTCCTCCTATCTTAGTCATCTCCTATAGTGTCTGTCTTTAGCACTCTAGATCTTTCTTTCTTTACATCAACAATTCTGGTCTACCTTTAACCTTTACTTATCTAATCTTTTCCTTACTGGACATTATTCTCTTTCCAAATTCTAATCTCACTTTATGCAGTCCCCTCCCCACCCACCAACCCTGCAAGGAAAATACATTTTAAAAATAGCAAATTATACCAAATCTTTTCTTTTTCCTTTTGGGTCCATTATGTCTGTATTATAAATTCCAGATGCCCAATCACTCTCTCATTCCTTCATGAAAACATTGGATATACCAAGATCATACTTAGGACATACATAAAGAAATCTTACTCCTATGGGTGTTGAATAACTAGTAATGATATTTGCATGCCTAGTTCTCCCTGAGTTAGATTCTACTTAGTTCACTAGATTATGGTGAAAAAAGTGACATGATCACACCCTTGCTCTAGGAATATTGCATTGGCAGCAATGTGAAATATGGATTTAGAAAATGTACACATTGTATCCCTCCTTAAGGCCAGAGTCTTTTTCTTTTTGTTTAATTTTATTTTATATTTTGTATTCCCATTGCCCAGCACAATGCCTTGTAAGAATATTTAATAATATCCCAATTAATCAATCAATTAGTAAAAGACTTCAGACTAAGTGCCAAAAGGCCTTGCAAGATAATTGGGTAAATCCAATGTGTTTAGATTTGCTGAGGAAATCTGCCTGCTAAGTCAGCACTTAATAAATAAATGGTTTTTAAAATGGAATTGTACCATGTGTGAAGCATTGTGAAGAGCATTTAGAAACAATGAAAGCTCCCATAGCATATTCCACTGAAATATTTTATATGTGATCTGGAGTATCCCATTATTTATTATATATATATTTTATTATTCATTGTTCATATATATTTTGTCTTATTGGATGTTATTAATTATAAGAAAGCTAGAAAGAGCTGACCTTCTAGGAAGCAGTGTGATAGTGGAAAGACAAGGATGCTAACTCAGGAGTTAGAGGCCCTTGGTCCTTCTGTGTGACCTGGGCCTCTGGTTTCTCATCTATAAAATTAAGATGTTAATGTTGGACTCAATGGCTTCTGTCCCTTCTAATTTTACAACTATGATCCTACTATCATTTAAATTCTAAACTACTGTGAGTCTGAGTGATACTTTGTTTCTAATTTGGAATTGCTTTTCTTTCATTTTTTTATTTCAAATATATTAATAGGATTTAGAGCTGGAAAAGACCTTGCTATCAATTTGGTCCAGCCTTTCATTTGACTAATGATGAAGATGATGCTCAGAAAATTAAGTGACTTGCCTAAGGTCACACAAGTAGCAGAGTTAGTACAGAATTTCATATCAGTCAGTCACCATGCATTTATTAAGTGCTATAGGGATACAAAGGAAAGCAAAAAAGGAGAGTTTGAAGATTAGTGAGAGAGCGAAGATGAAAGAAGTGGTAATCTTCTGTAGAAGACAGGATGGAATGGGATCACGGGTGCGTGTTGAGGAGAGCCACCTCTTCATGAGAGACAGAGGGGAAGGAAGAGACATGAAGAAAAACATCTGAGTGCTGGGAGATGAGCAGAAGAAGAAAAGGAAACTCTTGGCAAATTATCTTAGTTGTTACTCAGGTATCCCCTCTAAGGAGCAAAAAAAAAGGGGGGGGATACTTTTCAGCTGGAAATCTATTTAACTTTGTAATAATAATTTAAAAAGAAGATCTTTCTGAAAGTTCTTCTTGGTGACACTCTACTAGGGAATAACACAGAGAAAACCAAACTACTCTAAATATCCAGCCAGAAGAGAAAAAAAAATGTTTAACATTCAGTTTGGAATGCTAGAGTGTAGCATGGACTGTCTGTGTACCTTACCCAAACTTTAACCAAACCAACCATTCCAGTCCATTCTTTTCAGTGAACCTAGTCCAGTACTCTTTAGTTACCCATACTCCTTAAGTGACCATATCCTGTTATCTCAGGACTCCCTCTACACACTCCCCACCCCAACATTCTGCCCTTCACTTGAAAGCTTTCATTACCTCATTCTTCTCATCAACCGCTTTGGCCACTAAACTTGTATTCTTGTTGCCTCTAGCCTAACTCATATCCTTAGTGCACCCTCCCCCTATTTCCCTCTATCACCCCTCTGCCTCCTTCCATTGTGCCCCATTGAACCCATACTACAATGTCAGTAAACTACCCTTTATATATATAACACCACATCCTCCACTGCCCTCTCTCATTGAGAGGTCAACTTTTATCAATCGTTTCCCCCTTCTTAAAGGAAATAGAGCAATTAGGATGGGAATCCATGTTTCTTCTCCAACCTGTTCCCCACAATCATCCTCAGCAATTTCAATATCTGTTTTGATGAGTATTCAGACTCTTGAATCTCACGGCCTCTCATCTTACTACTTTAAGTCGTCAAACCTTTTTTATTCCACATCAGCTATAAATCAGTATTACATAAATAATAAAAATCAGTAAACTCTGAGGCTTGTCATTTCAGGGGATTGTATCACTTCTGAAATCCTGGCATTTTCTTCTCCATCTTTGATCACAAATATCTCTTCTGTTCCTTCATCATACCAACCAAACTTATTTTTCTAAACTTAATTTGATAATTAATCAGTCAGGAACTCGAACTCTCAACCTCATTCAGTCCATTAGCCTCATTCTGTCAATACTGGACTCCCTTCTAAAATTAAAATCCATGGTAAGTTACTTCATTATTAATCTCTTTAGCACTCTACCCTCATGCCAAGCCTACTACACCAATTTTGGTCACTTTCACGCTCTACTTTCTCCCCTCCTCCTCCACTGACAAGATTAGCTAGAAAAGAGACACAAACCTGACTGAAGGAAGATTAATGTTCTCCAACTTCATCTAACCCTCATTGTTTCTCAGTATTCTCTTATTTATAGCTTGTTGACATCGCTGGTGACAATTACTCCAAACATTTTCTCTCCTTAAGAAATGAATCCTCTTTCTCTATCTTTTACCCTTCCTCAGGGTTATCTATTTTACTTCTTTAAAAAAAAATAAAGCCCATCCCTATGAGGTTCTTCAAAGACCTTCATTTCACTTTAACATATTATTTTTTTTTTTACATTTCACTCCCCCCGCTAATCTCAAATAAAGAGGTTTTGTTTCTCTTTCCTGAAATTTCCACTTCCACCTTTATTCTGGAGTCCATCCAGAATACTGCCTTTAGGACACAGTGATCAGAGCATGATAGATTTAGAGCTGAAAGTGTCCTTAGAGGTCATCTGGTTCAATCACTTCATTTTACAGATGAGGAAATTGAGGCCTAGAGAGAATAAATGACTTGCCCAAGATCACAGAGGTAGGGTCAGAACTCAGATTGAAACAAAGGACCTCTGACTCTAAATCTATCATGCTCCTTCTGTGATGGCTTATTTTCTCTTTTCTCTTCCCTCTTCATATATGTCCAGGTCTCACTTCTCTTTAAGAAAAAAAAAAAACAACAAAACAAACCATTCACTTGATCTAATAGCCGTTTTTTAAGCTATCGTCCTCTTCCTGTCTTTCCTTTTGAAAATAAACTTCTCGATATTTGGTCTACACCTGCTGCCTCAGCTTCCTACCCAGGATTCTTTTCTTAATCCATTGTAGTCTGTTTTCCTGTTATGCCTTTTCTTTTAAAGATAACTGACAATTTCCTTCTTTCTAAATTGGTAGAAGATAGACTTATCATAAGGAGAATATGAAGCTGCTTGTCACAGAGAAAGTGCTTAATGTTTGCTGAATTGAATTGAAATTTAAAAGGAGAGGAAAAAGCCTAGATAAATCTAAAAAACTGGACATATTAGTATAATTTAACCTTTTGACCCAGAATAAAGCACTACAGAGGAGGAGGTAATATTTAGGTGTTTGGTATTGATAGTAATAACTGAATTCATCTTCAAATTCTAAAAGCATTTATTAGTGTCTGTATAGGTAGAATCTGGACCTGTGATTTAATTGATATAGACAACTCCTGAGTGATTAAACTTTCTCTTCCGAAGCAGACTGACACCATCCCTGCAACTTACAGTCTTAGAGAGTTGTCCAGGCCTCCGAGAGGTTAAGTGATTTACCCTGGGACACTTTCCCCAGATCACACAATCAGTATATGTAAGAAATGGGAGACGTCTCCTAGGTCTTCATAGTTTTAAGGCTCTCTAGCCACCAAGAGTTCTGAAAGAGCGCTAAGAGCACTCCCCGAACACTAAGCCTTCTTCTACCATGGCCACTGGGGGATCAATCCCTGTGGAGAAGGCAATTCCTGTCTCTTCAGATCCCATACCCCAGACTCCTCAGCAGGTACTGGAGGTCCTGAAGGGCTAGGGGAGAAAAAGATCTCACCAAAGTCCTCAGCACTGTCAAATGGTTCAACACAGGACTGTTATGAAGCTTAAATAAGATGGTGGATGTGAAGCACTTTGAAAAAATACTTTAAAGCATTATTTAAATGCCAGTTATTGTGAAGAATATTATCCTACAGTCACCAGGCCTCCAGGCTGATGATGACTTCATTCTCTGAGCCTTGGACTGCACTCCGGCTAAGCTCAAGCAATGTCTATAGAGCAATACAGGCTTGTGCGGGAAGATGTTGTAAAAACCGGGCTGTAGAGGAAAAAGTGCATGCGTACATGTTGAAGTTTAATCTGTATTTTTAATACTTTCTTAAGTCTATACAATCAACAAAACGAAAAATCAAGCTCTGATTTGTAGCACTTGCTGATTTCTGAGGTGTAAATGCTCACAATGAAAATGTA